GAGTTTAGGTCTCTCTTAAATGATCCAGTATACTTAGCCTTAGTCGCTTAAGCGATCACGTCCAGTCGCTTAAGCGATCACGTACAAGCAAGGATCAAGATCACTTAAGCGATGTTCCACTTTTACCCTTGGTCGCTTAAGCGATCATAGTGATCATGTCCAAGGCAAAATCAAGTCACCCTAGGTGCACGATCGCTTAAGTGATTCTTTACTTTTACCCTTGGTTACTTCCAAGGCAGAATCAAGATCACTTAAGTGATTCTTCACTTTTGGCCTTGGTTGATCGCTTAAGCGACCAAGGCCATTTTGCTTCTTATCTCGCCGATCTTTTGATATTGTGCACGTTTGAGTGAGAAATTATATTCTGTATTATGAGTGAGCTCTATATTCAATCATAATCATCCATATTTGTGAAATGAGGTACGTTTCTACTAACGTGCCACACTCGTGATTAATTTAGCAAATTGATTGATTGATTGACTTAATATGACAATTATGTTGATAATATTTATTTTGCCTGTCTTACTTTTTGGGAAGCAATCAGTGTCGTACAGAGGTAATATACGAAATTTTACTTACTTAAACCCTTTTTAAAATGGATGAAAATGAAAAATAATTAATTTGATTTAATACGTTATAAAAGATGATTTATTTAAGGTAACAATTAAATTTAAAACATAAAAAATTGAAAACAACAACTCTTTAACGGTTGGCCTTGGCAACTCTCTCAATTTCATCATTCTTCTTGATGACATAGCTGGAAATATAGGGACATAAAATCAGTTTAATGCACCACAAAAGAGAAACATAATAACTTCACCAGATCGCTCAAGCAATCTTTGATCACTTAAGCGATCTGCTTTTCAGATTTGCATATAAGAAACGATCGTTTAAACGACCTTATGTTGCTTAAGCGATCTGGTGGTCACCAGATCTGATGAGCAACAAATCGCTTAAGCGACCAAGAATCGCTTAAGTGATCTAGTGTTCACAAGATCTAATCTGAGCAACTGACTGTTTAAGCGATCTTAGGTCATTTGAGCGATCTGATGTTCAGATCTGCAGATAAGAGCAGATCTCTTAAGCGACCAAGGATCACTTAAGCGATTGGCTGTTATCTAGAGATCTGAACATCAAATCACTTAAGCAACTTAGGTTGCTTAAACTATCTGATCTTATCTGCAGATTGCTTGCTTTCTTGCTTCTAATCAATTCAAACCTAATTTTCTGGATCTGCATGTGATCGATTTTGGCAGCTACTTCTCTTATGGCCAAGTTGCTTGCAAATTGAGCATTTATTCATCCTCTGAGGAACCTCACATGCTGATGGAATACGCTTAACTATTTTTCTCCCCTTTTCTATCTTCTTGAATGGCGGATGGATGATAATGTCAACCAACTCTAGTGGCACCACCCACTACTCTTCTAGAGAAATTGGATATATCGTTTCTGAATAAGCCAGCATGTAGTGATTTTCCATATAGAGAAGGGAGCAAAGTTTCATGTAAATTCTTGAACCAAAATCTGGCTTCCATTGGTGTTTCAATGCTGCTAGTGCATGAGGACAAGGTAAACATTGAATGTCAAGCACTTTACAGCTACAAGTTTTACTAAGAAGTTAACTAGGGCATCCAAATCATAGCCACGCATTGTGAACTCTTGAGCTTTAAGAGGATAGGCAAATAGTGCATTTGACAGTTCCATACGTTCTCGTAATAATTTTTCAACTGAAGGAACAAAGGTTGTGGTAAAATTATCTGACTTCATACAACGCTCATAGAACCACCGTGACAATGTCCTCTAGATTGCATCAAAAAAGGCAACTATTGGAAACTTTCTTTCTATTAACAACTTCGAATTTATGGACTCGGCTATGTTCATGATCATGACATCAAACCTTCTCCAAGAAAGTAAGCTCTACTCCATCGCTCGAAACCAACATCATGCTCAAGATACTTAGCAATTCTATCATCCTTGATTCGGATTTTCCGGAAGTGCTCCTTGAACTTATCAACTCGATAAGGTTTTGCTGCCATGTAGTATGTCTAAAGGAGGCCAGCACACTTAAACTTTTGTTTTATGTTCTCACCAAGGTGTTTCATACAGAATCCGTGATGTGCTTGAGGGTAAATAGTGACAATCCCTTTCTTTATAGAGTTGTGTCTATCGGATATTATGTACAACTCGTCACAGTCAAGCACTATCGTATATAATTACTAAAAAAACCAAGTCCACAACTTGTCGTTCTCAGAGTCAACCACACACCATGCAATGGGATATGTGTGATTCTCGCTGTCCTATGCAATGGCCACCAACAATGTACCTCCATACTTTCCCGTCAAAAAGCAACCATCAATAGCCAACACTTTTCTCATGTTTACAAAACCCCTTATAGCAGCACTGTAAGCAACAAAAAAATATTTAAACCTCATATTCTTGTCCTATTTCAAAGTTGTCTTGCTACCTTGGTTTGTCAACTCAAGCATATAATAGTACGCTTCCAATACTACGTACCCGTGCTCTGGCGTTCCCCTTATAAAATCTTGTATATGTTGTCTCTCTTTCTAGCATTTTCAGTAACTAATAGTGCATCCCAACTTTTTGCGCATAAGTCTCTGAATATCCTTAGGAGATGGACCTTTCCCTCAACAAATTGACTTTTGACAAATTGTCCAATAGCATCAGCGGAGGCTTGTCGATGCTTACCTGAAATATGTCTCAACCAACATGTGTGCTCACGGGTATATGTGCTAACAATAAATTTTTTGGACTCTGCCAACCTTATACAATAAACCCGTCACTTGCACTTTTGGTCTCGACATGCAACCATCATTACCGATGAATTATACTTTTTGGTGATAAACTCAAAATTATCTCTCACGGCAACAAGTTTTAGCTTCCTTACCACTTCCTCTTTGTTGTCAAATAAATACCCTACGCGCAAGTCTGATCCATTAGTAAAAACATGAGCTAATTCACTACTACCTGCAATTGTCGCCTCTGAACCTGCATAAATGACCATAGTGTTCTCTTCCTCACAAACTACACCTTCTGCATAATCTGTATTTAAAGGAATCTTTATGTTTGCGGGAACATGTACAGGGTCCTCCTCGTCAACATTTTCATTCTATTGCACATGACCAACCTCTTCTACAGTGTCCTCCTTACCACCCAAATTACTGCCTACTCTTGATTTTTCAACTAAGAAATCAATGCCCTCATAGTTCAAATTAAAACCAGCATTCTCTCAACCAACTTCCTCGTTATCCCCTTCCTTTGAACCAACTTCCAACGGTTTATCTACAAAAGAAACTCTTAAAATCGGCCTCAAACCATTATCGCCCACATCAATTATATATAACTTTACACCTTCATCCGACTTTAATATAACAGAAGGTATCTTATAATGTTCAAGAACTCTGCTTAAAACATACTTTACAACTATATCACTACGTGAGCAACTCAAATCACTTCTTCTAATTATTTCATCAATCAACTCATCAAAACTAACATTTATGCTCACATCAATTGGTATAACTTATTTGCTCTTCCTAATCCACATCCACTAACTTTCTTCCTCCACTCACTCACCAAAACATTCAGCACCCAGAACAACTTGTCTCATGTCTAATAATAGCCAGGTACCTATAATGCAAGAAAAAATATATTATTAACTGATATATTAAGGGTTGAAAGATTTTAAAATGCATATGCACTTAAGCGATTTGCTGCCATATGCCAGACTTATAGCAGATCGCTTAAGTCATACACCAAATTACTTAAGCGATCCATGATATCCATAACACATTTTCAGTCATCTCCACCTACAATTGGTGCTACCACCCCTAACTACTTACAATGCAAGAAAATATTCAACAAATTTCACTCTTTTCAACTTGCATTACATCAAACACAACCCAACAACCTAAACAACTACATCAAAATCATAACCCAAACTCAATCCATCATTAAATCTTTGTAAATCGAAATATAAAATGGAAAGGGGAAATACACATACTTGGACGAAATGTCAGGAGGAGGAGGAGGAGGAGGATTTTGGTGGAAGTGTTAATGGCGAGAAAAAGAAGATGTACAGGAAGGAGAAAGAAGAAGATGTAGACGAAGCTTAGAATAAGTAGCAACCAAGGGAGGGATGCGTTAATGGCAGGAGGAAGAAGAAGAAGATGTTATGTTTCAGTTTGCTTGCAAGAATTTCAAGTTTTTGGGGACATATTATAATTTTTAAAAGATTACACAATACTTCATTAATCCTAATTAAGTCATGATTAGTATTTAATTGTTATTAGTTTGTCTTAATAAAAAATAAGATCATTTAGTAAAGACTAAAAAACTACATGGCTTTTTAATTAAATTCAAGGCCAATATGGCATTTAATCATTTGCTCCTCACATCCATGGCTAGAAGTATTAAGTGGTGCATGGTTCAAAAACAAAAAATCGTCTTTTCGATATTTCCTTGGCTTATTCAAAAGTGTGTTTCGATGAATACACAAACCAATTAGGTCATAAGCACGTGTAGACTGGAATGGATTGGTCTTAAATTCTTACGATAAACTAGACCAGCTGATGCAAACTTTGAAAATGAAAGACTGGTTTAAATACGCAACGAGTTTTTTGCATTCAAAATGGTCGTAGTATATGATATATCTAAAACTGTGAGCATCTCAAATTTCTCATCTAAATTACACAGGATAGGACATCAATATATAAATGATGAAATAATATGTTTTTACATTCGTAAGTTCCTGTACAAATAAATAGGTCATGCAGAAGATGGAATATACCAGTTGAAAAAAGAAAGCCTTATTCTAAATAAAAATAAATGTTACAACAGCAACAGTTAATCTAGATTATGAATGTTGAAGTCACTTTCAGTTTTGTGTAAGGCTGGGACGAGACTTTAATTGATTAAAAAACGTCAACCTAAACAAATATAAATCTCCAAGTCTTCTCTTTAAGTCATCCCCCCATGCCCCACTCCCTTTCCATCTTCACATCTTCCCTTTGCTTTCAGAATTAACGTTGAAGCTTCCTGCAATATCCCAGGAACCTTAGCATGAACCCACCTCCAACTTGTAATTCTGTTCCAGATTTCTATAAAACAAAGAAATGCTGCAATCTCTTCCTTACAGTCCTAACTTGTTCGATATGTCGTCCGAAAACCGTAATAATGCAAATTTTCCACCTCAGGACTCGCCTGAGAGTGACTACACCGCGGAACCGACCAATTTTGAGCTCTCCGACTACTTCACATTTGATCAGTGGCTAGAGGACGATCAAGCGGCCACAATTTTCGGGGCTGTTCAGAATCCGGTTTATCGAGCAAATGAAGTAATTGAATCGGGAGGAATTGGTGGCCAAACCGAAGGACCTAGTAACAGTAAGGAAGTTGTTAAATTTGTCATGTAAATTTTGTTCTTGTAAGTATTTATACTAATGGTTGCGTGTGACATTAGATGAAAGTGAAAGTGGTCGGGAGAGGAAGAGAGTTGCGTTCAAGACAAAATCAGAGATTGAGATATTGGACGATGGATACAGGTGGAGGAAGTATGGGAAGAAGATGGTGAAGAACAGCCCGAATCCAAGGTATGGCGAACAATTTGAACGTCTAGTGTTTTAGATAAGTTGAATTTCTACCAAATGTAAAAGATTTATATACCATTTGATGTGATAAACACAGGAACTACTATAAATGCTGGATCGAAGGATGCCCGGTAAAAAAAAGAGTTGAAAGAGTTAGAGAAGATCCAAGTTATGTAATTACTACATATGAAGGTCTTCATACTCATCCAAGCACCACCTAGTTTTGCTTTTATGAACCCACGCCTGTGAAAGGGAACCATGCACAATCAGTCTCAAATACTTGTGACTATTAAGCAGTATGTTTCTGCAATTTTGTAAGATAATTTTGCACCTACTCTTGTAGAATTAGTAAGCTTTTTAAGAGGAGATTGATCTCTTTCAATTAGATAATATAAAGTCTTGTCAATTTCAGTGCATTATTGCTGAGCTTTATATATCACTTTTGCTTCTACTGAAATTCTGTCAATTAGATTTTATGTGTTTTTAAGTATATTCGTATAATAAATTTCATGGAAGCACCTTCCTTTTTATCTTTAAGTTGTACAATGTTCTTCCTTTTCTTCTTTTAAGCACCATTTCTCTCTGTTTTGCTTGAAAACTGGGTTGTTTTGCTTCCTTTCTTGGTATAAATAATTATTATTTTATTTAAAATTTATCAAATTTCTTAAAACTATTATTCCATCTATTTTCTTATTTGCTAACATAGTGTTAATGATGTCATTAATAATATGACACATGTGGTCCTATTATTCTTTGTCCCACTTCCACCATTTCATTAAGGGTGTTTATNAAATACATATCATACATAACCCTAAGTTAGGATTATCCTAACTTTTAAATTTTAAAACTAGATAAAGCCCAGATAACTCCTAAGTTTTCACATTCTAATCTTAGGAATTCAACATAATACATTGGTGACAATCTGATCTCCGTATTCTGAATGAATATGCTCCAAATAAACCATCACAAAACTGGAGTAGACGATGCAATAATCTACTCTGTATAAGATGCTCTTGCAGTTTCTGTCTTGCTTGAGAAAAGTGAACTACATAGTGTGTTTCAACTAACCAAGACAAAGTCGTCATGGCAAAATATAAGGGTGTGCACAGTAGGGTTTGGATATCTAAGAATGATCCTCAAAGCTACCACAGCATGCAAAAGTAATTTCAAAATCCCCAGAAACAATTAATAATTTCAAAATCTCCCTGAAAGAATTCATCATTAGATATATGGGTGAATATAATCAAATTTCTTAGAACACACAGTCCATTACTAGTTTGAAAATGTTCACAAATGCATCTCAATTTTCCTTTTCTTTACAAAGGCATCAAGTCTTATCCACATGCAGAATAATATTCCTTTCTGCTTTGAAAATCAACTTATAAAGGCTTCTCAATAAAGAACCAATAGCATTGAACATTACATAAATAAACAAGTGCGACCAACTGTTATTTCCCAAGCACATTAAAACATAGAGCCACATGCAGAAATAGATATTCCTTTTCTTCAAAAATCAAGCTAAACGTGAACAGCTTCTCGACGAAGACCATATAATTATGAACATCACATAAAACCAAAATTCTATAAGAACAATGCTCTTTGAACCATTTTGTTTCTGTTTCCAAAAGCCAAATAGTATATACAGGCTAGTTAGGAAAATTCATATATTTAATGTGAGTGAAAATACAACAATTTACTCACCACTGGGTTCAGAACGATTCGCATGCTTGATCGAGTGTATTTCTGTAGAACTCGAAGAATGGAAGAAAGCTTTTGGCCAGTTGGACTTAAAGGATCAATAACCGCATCAATTTGAAGAACAGAATTCTCACTGTTTAAAACAACGGCACTGCACAAGCAGTAAACAATATAGTTACATCTTAGGACTCTTAAATTGAAAGACATCAGAATCCGCAAGCATAAAAGCTTATTGGCAAAATTTTATATTAGATTTCTAAAGATGTAGCTGAAAACTTATGAAAACACCTAATTGCCTTATATTCTTTTTGTTGAAAACTGACTTAGATATTTAAGAGATGCAAGATGAAATTTAAGATGACATAATGTCTACATATATAATAATTCTCTAGTCAGGACCATACTATATCTTATTTTAGGGAAGCTTAGTGTTACCAAAATGAGCAGATTAATACGAAAGACAGAATAATAGAACTAAAGTTAATAGAAAAAGAAAGAAGAGAAGACACGAGATGAATCTTAACTGTATCTAAGCATGTATAAAAGCCCTTACCTATGCTCTGCACTTAAAATCTCAAAATGTGCACTTTCAGAGCCTCGCTCCCGCATAGCCAAGGCAGATGACACAAGCATGATGATATCACTTACAAATTTGCTGCAAAAAGCATTTATAAAATTAGCATCTCTTTTGTACAGGCCTGGGTCTGTCTGGGCTATGAGTATAGGCTGCTTTTTTTTTTTTTTTTGTTCTGGATTTGCCTCTTGGGTCTGTCCAAGGGTTTGCAAGCTTAAGGGTTTTTCCCTTTCCTTGTATTTTTATTTTTCTCAATATATTTACCGGGTTTATCCAAAATTAGCATAACCTCCTAATACATGTTTCTTAAAAAGCTGAATTATAGATAACACTGACAGAAGAAATTCCATAAATTATAGATTTCTAATGTGCTTACAAAAAGAGAAAACTAGTAAAATACAAAACAAGAAAATCGAAAATCATGTGTAAGCGCTAAGAAGAAACTAGAACAAAATATGCAAAATAAAATATGATTTGCTCTCTTCTCATTAGTCTACTAAAGTGATGAAATAAAAAATAAAGATAACCAACAACGGTGTAGAATGCCAGTAAACCTTGTGAGAATGTCTGGGTCTATGTCGGGATACTCGTTCAGCCAGTTCACTCCTTCTATTATTTCCCAGACATACTTTATTCTGTGCTTGAACTCCACTGACTCCAAAAGATCTAGATCATGACTCAGAAATGTGCTTACATCGATAGGGGACATCACCTATCAAATGTCAAAAGATGATTTGATTAAATTCAGTTACCAAAATAAATGCAAATATGATAAAAGCAATTGTGTAAAATTACTAAAGCTTCTTAATCATCTACAGGAAAAGAGCAAAGACTTAAAGACTTCGAATCAAACAAAAGAATAAAGGAAAAAAGAAAAAAAGATAGGTCTCACCCTCCCATTAGTAATGATAGCATTAATACCAGGTTCAACTCCAAGTTCCCTATACAAAAATTGCACCACCTGCAGTTATTATAATAACTTTAGTTACAAAATGTCAATATTGATCAAACTCATGAATTTCAAAGACCCCAAAAAGAGACCTAATGAGTAAAACAGAAAATACAGAAATCAAAACAAGAATCTATGATATGATCTGTACTGACACCTATTAACATTATACCAGGACAAGACTTTTCTTCTCTCTTATTCATAAGAAACATAACAGAATTTATTCAAGAGGAAATGAGAAAATTTCTTTTGAAGGCCAAAACGAAACTAATGATGGCATACCTTATTCAGACACTTTCTCACGCTCCCATCATGATATTCAGGAAGAGAGGAAATAAAAACTTTGGATGATAAGCCATTTGCCTCAGCAAACTCAGAGATCTTATCAATAAATGCTTGAGTGCTTTTAGCAGATACTGGAAATGCAAGGGTACGCTCATAATATAAGCATAATTGATCCAAAAATTCAAGTACCTTTTTCTTATGGCTGCATAAGAGCATAAAGGCAAACAATTATATGATCAATATAAGAAGCATATTCAAAGCTTGTTTTATGTAGAATAGTATATTTACTAGAACTGAAAGATATATAGCACATAATGCCCTCAAACACTTCACAAACCTATATGTGGATGCAGTGATTTCAAAAGCCTTCACTAAAAGGAGACTAGATGAATCAGCCTCCTGACTAGCACTAAATAGAACACCTAATCGAGCAACTTTAGATCCTCTGATCTGCATCAGGATATATGAATTGAAAAAATATTAATATTAACGTCAACAATGATAAAAATGACAATAAGAAACACAGTGGCATTTAATGAAGCATGCAATCCAGAAATTTAATAACCAGAAAATGAATTCCTTCACGAAGCAGCTTTATCCCCTTCTTTGACATGACATCAACAGCCAGAAGGTGTGTCACAGGCTTCACATCATCCATAGCTGACATAGGACAGTCAGACAAACCACATGTCATATACATAGATTCAAGAATATGAAAGCCAGGAGCTACTAGTTTCAACATAATATTTGCTTACTTTCTGGAGAATGCAAATAATTAACATCTTTCAGCCAAGACTCCCCACCAAGAATTGATGAAGCCAAAGAAATAAACCTAGGTTTAACCTTGGCATCGGCAATGATCTACATCAATCCAATAGCAAAGATTAATGAGCTATTTAATGAGTGTGCGTGTGAGAGAGAAAGTATAGAGCAACCTTCTCCCAAACCATTTCCTAATCGAAGAATGAAAAATTGATCATGACCTTTACCTGTGGATTATAGCGACTAATACCATTTTCTGATAGGAATTTGTCCAGTACATCAGTACGAGAGCTTATATGCCCATAATAAACTTGTTCTTGTATTCTTGGAAGCTCATCATTCATGGCATTTATAAGGGCCTCCTGATCAAGTGAACCGAAAAATCGTTACCCAATTGGAAATGGGCTTATTGTCCAAACACAGATCACAAGTAATACATAAAACAATATTTAATAAACTCAATATAAGTCGACATGGTCCACAAAGGAGAAGTGGAAAACAATTCTTTAACCATATAACATATGCAAACACCAGGAAATCTCATGCTGCCTAAATAAATTTTCAAATGGAATGATTGAAAAGAATGGTAAGTTGGATCTGAGCTCGTAGAGTCACTCCAATAGAATGGTATTCCTAAGTGTTGTAAAACCATAAATGATCAAGTAGGAAATGTTAGTTACACAGTTTATTATACAGATTAGATTTACAAGGGCAAACATCAGAACTACCTCATTAGAATCAAATACAAGACCATTCATCAAGAGGCAAGACTGCAGCTTGGCCAAACCCAGTTTGAAAACGAACATTGAAGTCTCTTGAGATTTCTCCTTCAAACTTTGCTCCTTTTCCAGCTTCAGTAATAGATCTTGAGGTGGAGATTTTGCCTTTGGTCTATAAAACAGAAAGGAAGATTTATCTTTTAGTTATCTGGTTTAATAAACTTTCAGATATTTTTAAAGTTTAAGGGTATGGAAGATGTAAAAAATACAAAATTTGTTGAACTAACAATATGGTTTCTACAAAAGCTCCCTCAATAAGATGCATTTCAAGAGCATCATCTTCAGAATCCTCTGACTCCATCCTTAATCTATTTACCTATCATGTTGAGAGATAATGTAAAACTTGTTAGATAATGTTTTCATAAACAACAAAAAGGGTAGAGAAAGAACACACTCAAAGCTGTTTCAAATTATCACAAATATCCAAACTCACAAAGCATAAGAGACAACTTAACAATCAATATATATCTAAACTCTCCACATCCTACATTTCCTTACAATGCCCGCTAGTGTGTCACTAGCAGGCCCCGATAAATTATGTGTATCCAAGGAAATAAACCTAGGACCTTCCACATTTGCAATGAAATTCAGCCACTAAAAAAGTCCCCCAAGGAGATATAAATGGCAGCAAAGGCGATGATAATAACAACAAGAAGAAGGACACGAAGCATGGGAACAAGAAGGAAACAAGTAAGAACGTCATTATGTGCATGACATCATGTCAAAGTAAGAGAAACAAGATGTGCAAGGCACTATGTGCAAGTAAGAAAACGCATGAGACTATGCCATTTGAAGTCTGAAATATCACCACCCTAACAACAAGAAGCAAGCTTGAGCAGGAAGACGCATGTAAGAGTTGGACAAAAACAAGCTACTGGCTGTTAGGTTTTACAGCAACATCCCTACGTAGTGTAACCACTAATTTTTCAACAAGAACGCAACTCCCTACTTAAAAAAGATGTAAGAGAAGCATGGCAACAAATAGCAACAATATCACAAGCAATCCTTAAGACTGAATCAGTTATTTCAAGTTGCATATAACCAGGAATAATTGTAAAAAGCAAGCTCATACATTGCTCAGAAACTGGAAAGCTGTTTGGGTCCCGTAGTTTTCCTTAATATAACTGAAAAGACGTATAATCTGCAAAATGAAGTAATGAAAGTAGTGTCCATTAGCATCATCATTGGCAAAAGCAGAACACTTTTTATCATAAATGTATGCATCACTGAGATTGCTAATGAAATAAATGAAAGTAACTTATCTAATAAATGACAGCACATAAGAGTAATTTAACTGGACCAAGCGTGCTCTCAGAAAGTAAATTCAAGCCAAGTAGAAAGAAATAACAACTATAAGAAGCAATACCAAACTGGAAGTATCCTCCTTGACTTCACTGTCATCTTCCAAAGCAGAAGACTGGAGCTCACCACCATTTATTTGAATCTTATTGATAAACTTGGTCGAATAGAGTATCACACCAAATCTCACAGGAAAATTATTCTTGTACAAAGATGTAATCATGTCGATAATCTGCATGATTCAAATAACATATTACAATAAAAAATTTTGGAAACAAGATGCAGGCACATAATACAATTAGCAGCTTGATAGGAAAACATGCCTGAAGACCATGGACTGTGGCTGGATCAAGAACATAAACAGCGTGAAAGAGGTTCTTCCGAATATAACGTAGTTGCCCAGGGTAGACAGGCATCAAAATCTACAGAGAATAATCATAAGGAACCATACAAACAGGAAATCATGCACATTAAGAACATCTTACTGCAAGAAAGAAGAAACTGACAGATGATTATTCTACCTCATTTATATTGCTCCGCCATCGCTTATACATAGCATCTTCTTCCAGGTTATTGAGATAATGAACATGAGTAGAACGAAAATCAACACGGAACATATTGGACTCTGAAGGAGGCACAATTGATAGAAGTTTCTTTATAATGTTATGTGGAATCTGAAAGTAGAACATGTCACTTTTTCTAAGAAACACTAGTCCAAAATTTTTGCTTTAAACAACTTGGAATAGACATACTAGATTAAATATTTAACCAAGCTTAGAAAGAGAACAAAATCAATAAATAGAATGAAAATCTTCATTAAACATCCTTGAGAGCTATCTAATATATGTCATAGACCTCCACTTGGATTTTAAAATAGTCATAAACCTCCTTTGTAATTGTCATAGGCCTCCTCTTGAGTTCATGAACTTCATACTGACATATTCTTACACCAAATCTTAATGGGCATAGATGAAATTTACCCATAAATAATTGACAAGGAAGGTGTGCGTGACACCAAAACAAAGAAGTCACCAAATGAAACGTAAACAATATTTAGATACAAAAATTCCTTTTAAACATTTATCAATGTATTGGTTCCTGTATGCTAGAAGAATAGCACATGTACTGAAAAATTAAAAGAAAAAGTTGAAATTCAAGTCACACTTGTAATGTAAACAGGGTAACCGAACAAAACTACAAATTCAGCAAGAATGCCAGTGCTGCTCAATAATGTCTTAAGGTTAAAGAGCAAAGTGTGAAAAGAAAAAAAAAAGACTCGTCAGATAAATCAAGTACTAATCAACCACCCTTTTTAATCTAATGCATCATTTATTCATCATGGCTTCAGTCAAAGTTAATTTCAAAAATATTGAACCATACCTGAAGATTAAGATGCTGTTAGATGGCTTTGTTATTATTATTTTTATTGACATTTTTTCTTGTCTTGCATTTATAGCAGATCATTGATACATATGTGGACTGTGTTAGCCCTAACATTAACCCAGCTAGAAACTATGCACTGCCCTTCTTAAGTGTTTGGCACTACTAACAGAGTGCAAATGTATATTGGATGACCCAAGACATTTACAACCTCATATAAAGAGTAACAATAAAAGGTTTTCCAATACTAAATCACACAGCGCCCCAAAGGTAAGTTTGTCAACCAAATCATGTTGGATAAATAAACTATTAGGAGAAAGAATATTAGCATAATTGGTGTTTAAATGGGACTCCTCAAACAAGCCGAGCAAACAATTCAACCACAATATGAGTTCAACTAAGTTGTTCCATATAAATAACCACTAAGGTATGAAAATAGACATTATGAGAATGAAGAGAGGATTAGCATCCTAAACCTTAAATTTTGAAAATTGATCAGCCAAGGATAACTCCTGATGAACCAAGTCAATCAACCTATAAGAAAATAATAGAATAATAATAAGAGTCAATTTTAAAGGCAACAAAATAAATGAAGAATAAAAAAAGATAACTGATGACGTGAAGAAATATACTATAACAGATCAATCAAGGCAAAGCACATTTCTTCTTTTTCTTAAACTAATAAACAATAAATCAAAAGAGAACAATACAGGCAGTTAAAAGGTTAATAACTAATTGGTTAATTTTTAGCATGATTTCCTCAGCTAATATGAGTAGTATCATTCAACAGAAAATGCTTTGTAAAGAATACATTATGCAGATCCATGTCAGCATTATTGAAACTAAAAGAACTTGATCTCAAAGTACTACAGTTCAATTACTTAGTTACATTACTTGATTCCACAAAGACTGGTTTTGTTTTCTTCTCATAATTTGTCTTCTTGGAATTTTGACAGAAAAAGTTTGTGCAAGATATCAACCAAATGCAACCCTCAACCTCATTTCCCTGGGGAAAAAAGATTTAAAAGATGGATAACTACACATGACATCAGGTTAGTGGAGCATATGTTATTCCAAGCCTTTTGTCCTAGACCAATATGAGCTAAGCTGAATTTTCCTTGCTAAAGCAGTCCCATACAAACACAACTAGATTGAACTACAGCACCACAATAAGTAACCTTTGGCTCCAATTCAGGTTCTCCCAGGCGTTTTCCAAAAATACTCAATCAATAAAATAAAAACAGAGATGGTATAACTTTTCAACAGAGAAGCACATAGCATGGATTTGTATATGATAGAACTAAACATGTTAAACCTAATATAATACAACACATAGTGACATGATATCTTGTATAATGGGCATCCTAAAAAATGTAAATGGACAACATTACCTTCTGGACTAGATAAGCTAAAAATAAAGACATTGAGAAATTTAGGATGGGTAAGATCTTCAGCAAAAACAAAAAGAGGAAAAGAATAAAGAAAATACTAAAGGGGTAAAAAGCATTACAGATAAAGGTCAATATCATCAACATTGATCACAGCACCATTAAGAGCCATTATGGACTTCCCAGGGGGCATCAGACGCTGGTTTGAAGTTATTTCTTCTTTAATTGATTCATTGAGCTGCGAAATGTAAACAATTGTACATTCCAGTCAGAAAAAGTAATAGATCACTTTATCTTTGGAGCAAACACTCCAAGTATCAACACAAATACATGTTCAAATAATGAAGAAACATATTTACCTTCATACGAGATAATGAAGAAACTACACTCGGAAAATTTTGGCTAATTTCTTGCATTGACTGCAGAGGGTCAGAGGCATGAACTATTCTCTGAGCAGTTTGATGCCCTAAATCTGTTGAACAAAGGCATAAGACAGATAGAAATATATAAAAAGTAGCAACAGAAAAACGTAGAGTTATAAATACCCTTTAGTTCCCAAACATCAAGGGTGTCTGATATTGTGGATGACAATAGGTAATCCCTGAAAGCCATTATCTCAGATGTAAGCTCAGGTTTGCGTTCCTACAAAGATATGTAAGATAGCATCATTTCCCGGTTCTAGGTCCAAATTTCAGCACTGAAGAAAATCATCTAAAACTACAATTACTCTGTAACGATCAGTATAGTATTGTTTTCATGACAAATATCATTAGTGGAAACCACCCATCATAGCAATTGAGGGAGGTGTCACAACAATAAAGCATTAACACTATGAACCCTTTAACCCAAAAATTTGAGTAACCCCCTAAGCAGTTAATTTTGGCTTTTTATTATGTTTTTAAAGAAACTATAAACTTTGCATTAAATTAGTACAAGGTGAGGAGATACAATTGTGGACCAGGTAGGGAAACAATCTATACACTTGTTTGTAGTAAGAAATCATCCCTCCACTAATACAAAATGAACCTAAGAACCCAATTGAGAAGACTGAAGAAAAAAATTAAGTATCTTGAAACTTCTAAGCAACTGAAGCCCAAAGCGGAGAAATAAAGCAAACTCTTTACCATAAATTCTGTTTTCTTCTCTTTTCTAATTAAAAAATCCAATTGTTTTCTTTCTAGCTTAATAACACAAAGAAGAGCTTAAACATCTCCAAAGGGTTTTGGCTTTCTTATTCTCTTCCAGAGACAACTACAGTCTGAATAAGAAGTTATTCACACGAAACCAGGATGGTCCAATACATCTTAGCTTCTAAACAAGTTCTTCCCATAAAGTTGAAGCCATTGACCAGTTCATTATGGTCTTTGTTGCACACAATTGAATTATCTTAGACTGCTTCTTGTAAACACAATCTTTGTCCTTTACATATAATTTTGTGCCATAATTTATAGATGGCATGACATACCATTAACTGTGACACCTAAGTCTATTTATAAAAAATGGAAGTTCAGTAGCTGGGTCTGAGGATACTCATTACTTGGATGAAGGCCCAAAACCTAAGATCTGACTTTTACACAATAAAAGCTTCAAAAGACTTTAGCCATAAGACTTGATGTGTGAACCAACTTAAGAAAGAAGGGAAAAAATATGAGAGAGAGAAATTTAAAATCATCTTATCCAAGAACCTATTTACCAGCCTGTTACAGCATGAATATATGGATTAAAGTCATTTAGGAAGAATTAGTTTCCAAGTTATGGTAGTTATAGATTAAAGAAAGTTCTTTTTGTAAGGGTTCTGCAGTACAAACAGTGGTGGGCCCTAAGCAAACCAGCTATGGTACAAACTTAAGGTAACAAATAATTTAAGCCTAGTTAGTAAATTAGCGAATAAAACGCGAATTATACGGTTGGGCCGTATAATTCCTGTATCATTCGCGAATTTTGTGTTTTGTCAGCGAATCTGTATTATTCGCGAACTATATGCCTCAGATGTTTTATTCGCATATCCCGTATTTTTCCCGTATCCGAATTTTATAGCTGAATTTTTACAAATGTATTTTTCACCATTTGCCGTATTATACCCATAAAATTCCCGTACCCTTTCCTTGCTGTACTTATATTTACTAACTAAGATTTAAGTACCAGAATAAAAACAATCTGACTGAAAGTAATTGACTTTAAAAGAAAAACAAACCAGAATTTTGGAAAATATGAACCCTCTAACTTCTTGGCTAAGATCTTCCGTCCGAGGATCTTCCAGGGTGACACCTACAATCCATACCTCACACTTTTAAGGGGGAAGAATATGCGGAGTAAATCAAAGAAATAAGTCATAAGGTATATGCAGCCAAGAAAAATCATTCCATTATACTGGCAAGAAATCTTTCATATNAGAAAAACAAACCAGAATTTTGGAAAATATGAACCCTCTAACTTCTTGGCTAAGATCTTCCGTCCGAGGATCTTCCAGGGTGACACCTACAATCCATACCTCACACTTTTAAGGGGGAAGAATATGCGGAGTAAATCAAAGAAATAAGTCATAAGGTATATGCAGCCAAGAAAAATCATTCCATTATACTGGCAAGAAATCTTTCATATGTATAAAAGCTTATATTTGGGATAAAAAAAAAAAAAAAAAAAATTATTCCAAAAGCCAATGATTCAGCAGCAGTGATTCCTTTAAATAGATTCAAAAATGATTGCCAAGAAACTCCGATAATGGTATTAAACAACAATAAAAGTATATTAGAATAAATGTACCATCCATCAATTATGAAACCTAACTCCGAAAAGGGGAATACTAAAATTGAATTTAAAGTTTAATTTCCGTAAAGCACTGGAAAGTCATTAAATGGATAAATGTCATCACCACAAACACCCTAATAGACATAATGCTACAGGCCTACAGCCTCCTGAAACAAGTATGAACAACCAGAGAAAAGAAGGCATTTACAAGGAAGCATCAGAATTTAAAAAAAAAAAAAAAAAAAAATCATCTCAGAGTTTATTGATCTACAAAATGGAAAAAAGTCTGGATGCAAAGATATCCATTGCAGATAACTAACACAGGCAAGACTGACAGGACATATTCAACAGAATGACGTAGAAGACAGCACAAGCCAAAGCTAGTTTTCCCTATGCCGAATTTACATAGCCTTTTTTAAGTTTTTTGCTTAAATTAGAATAAAGAAGCATAAAGAGAATGCATCATAAATTCTAACCTTCTTTTATCGCACTATCATCCATAGCCTTATATTCCATATTCTTCATAGCAAGCTCAACACCATAGCCACCCAAATTTAAGGAATCTCTAGAACCATCAGCACCACAAATGCCAACTTTTGCCTCACAACCAGAAGGTAAAACGGATCTAACTACATACTTCACTTTTCCCTGGAAATTTTCATAAAAAAATAGAGAACCCGACATAAAGATATTTATCATATAAAGAAATTAAATCCTGTCACATTAAAATAAACAAAGGTGTTCTTTAATCATTCATGGACTTTACTCATTCATCTATGACATAGAATTTCTTTTATAATAAACAATTTTATCTCATAAAAATTCACCTCCTCATTTCAATCATCCTCAAATTTCTTCCATCTTTTCAACCAATAGTAACAAATAGATCAAGAAGGAAATAAATATGTAATATACATGGCTAGACACATAGAAGCAATTTTTCTTAAGACCCAAATATTGGCAACAATAGCTATATAAGCGTCGGAAAAACATTAAATTATAGCCTTATAACCACCAGGAAAACCCAAAAGAAATCTCAAACACAATAGCGTCAAAGGTTTAGCTAATAATAGCTGTAATGATTAATTTTTTGCTCTATAAAGTGTTTTTGCCTTCTTATACAAAACAAGTGCATTGTAAGATAGGAAAATTTAGAACACTCACAATTTCTAAAATTGTACTTAGATCTTAGACACTGTTGTTGGCCCTTACCTATCACCTTAAAGCTTTATGGCTAGAGTGGGTACTCAACATAGTATCAAAGCTAAGCTAAAATGGCATTGTGTTAGAATCCCCCTATCATATTAACTAAATTAGAACAATTTGTATATGTTGGGATCCCACATTGAAAGGAAAAAGGGTGGGCATGTGGGTTATAAAGGCTTGGGCACCCTCCCTTGGCAAGCCGGTTTTCCAAGGAGAGTTCTACCCAAGCCCATGAAAGACCCATGGCCCAGCCCAAATTATTGAGTTATTGGAGTGGGTTCCTATCAGTATATAGACAAATTGTATTTTTGATTCTGGTTATGTTTGGTCCGTGTGCAAGTGCTTGTGAGATAGTGTAATAGGGGGATGGAGCTTAAATACCATTGCTGGGTTCTCACCAATCAGCTTAAGCTTTTGTGCAAGCGATAACTTAAATCATGGTTTACTTCCCAAGAAAACGTGGATGTCTATGAATTTTGTCGAAGAGAACATACTATTTCATGAAGGAAAAGAACTCAAAAATAATAAACAAAACAAACAAAAATCTAGTACAAAATAAGTAATATACCTCTTTGGCAGCTTGAACTAAAGTGACATGAAACTCCTTAAAGCAATCAATTCCAAGAGCACCATAAAGAATAGCAATTGGACTTGCAGTACTTGAATCAAAGTGAATGTGATCAAAATCAAACAATTCGGGCTCCTGAAATGAGTTTCCAGCACTGGCTTCCAGAGAAAATCAAATAAAATTAAGGACAATAAAGCAATACATTACAATTACCAGAATAAATCTAAGATAGGAATCTGAGAAAATCATATAGTAGTTACATTTCAGAGGGATTTCGAAGCCACAATAACAGTTCGAAAACGTCAAAGAACAACGCTCCACCAGTATCCACCCAACAACATTTCCCACCTGGGCTTTTTGGATTTACACCAACAAGTAAGGAATCCGTTATTCTGGTTTCCAGATTTTCACTCGCTTCTGAATTACTTTCTTCCACCAGTGGAAAAGAAGAAAGAGACTCCTCTGCCAGTTGGCGGTAAAGCACCAATCTCGGGGATGCTGACCTTAGCATAAGGGAGAATTCATATAGCGATGCTAAGGATTCACCTAAAAGAGAGCTACCATGTTTTAAAATTCTTTTCAGGCAACCTTTTGCTGTACAAGTATCGGCATCATTTTCAGCATGATGCCAGATATCAATGAACTTCCAAAAAAGGTCTTTCCTTTCATTAGATAGTAATTCTCTGCACCAAGAAGTAAAGAAAATCAAGTTACAACAGCTTGGAAGCCTGTGCTTCAACAAATAAATATAGGAAAAGTAATCGTGTCATATACATGGTTGAAATGTAGACATAGTTGGAAAAAAAGTTCAGAATACCATAGAGTACAATTTCTGATAGATATTAAAAGTCCCCGAAATTTCAAAGCAAGAGAACCATTCCAGGAAATGTAACCAGAAACGCAATATTCAAGGGCATACCAATGCAATGTCTTTCTCATAAAATTAACATAAATTGTATTCTCAAACAATATACACAAAAAGACTTTTAATTCCCAACTCAATGTTTAATCCCCAAGAATAGCTTTCAGATTTCCTATCTGGCAGCTAAGTCAATTAAACCAGGGTGCAAAAATATCATGGTATTCAGGGACAGCTGAACTTTATTTATTTATTTTTTTTCTTTTATATTGATAAGAAACTCAAGAAAACTTACATAAATTGAAGAAAGGATTACATAGAAGTGAGCAAGTTTTCTATAGTTATCCATACATGTATGGATCAAGACAGCCCAGTAAAAAAAAAAAAAGAGAAAAAAACTAAGATACAAGACATTATTAAAGGTCATGAAAGCCACAAAACACTAAAACTATACTCCTTCAAGCAGATCACTACAGCCATGATTCAGGAAACATAGAAGCCAAAAAAGAAGCCCAGAAATTAGTTTTGTGCCATAAGAATTCAGTCTCATCCACTTTTTCTCTTCAAAAATTGTTCTGCTCCATTCTATCCAAAATAACTCAAAAGATAGCCATAATAGCACAATCCCATCTATCAAACCCCAAAGACTCGAATTTTTTTCTGAGAGCACATAAACACAAGAGAAACGAGAAACCAACTCAGCTTAGAAGCACAAATAAGATTACTCCACAACTACCAAGCAAAAAGGCCATTGCAAAAACACATGGTCTAAACTCTCAACTTTTTTTTCCAGATGAAATTGATATGCATGCAAGTTATACCATGGAGTTAATTTTCTATGGGACTGCTCATCCCACGAGCAGGATGGCAAAAACTACTCTCAATTTGAAAATTTTTTTTAAGGTTTTTTCACTCAAAAACTCCATTAGTAACACCTCCCTCTTCAAACCGATCCTTCCTAGTGAACCAATCCATGTTTCAATGCCCTTTTCATCCTTCTATTAAACTATAAAATGAGACCTTCTATTAAACTATAAAATGAGAAGTGAATCAATCGCAATCAACATGTCAACATCATTAAGTGCTTATGTACCTAATGAGTAAGTTATTAAACAGTCAAGCGTCTTAAAATGGCTAAATCCAGCCTCCTAACCCTGCAGAAAGGGAAAGGAAAGGAGAAGAAATTTCACTCGATAATACTTCAACATAAGAAGAAAGGAAGAAATCTTCTCATTTACCACCAACACCCACCAGACTCCTTAATGATTCAACCATGGTGGTGAAAGTTTAAAAGTAGTTCACAATTCATTTACATAGTCAAAGTACTAGCAAATGATCAAAAGTCCTCCATTCTCTTGCATATAAAAACATCAATGACTCACTTTTTTTTTTCTATGCTAAGATAACACCAATAACACATTTATCTTTCCTATCAAAACTTTTAGCACTGAGAGTACACGGCAAATATCAACACAATTTCATATAAAAGAGTGTCAAAGAACGCACCAACTAGTTAGCAATTGTGTGGTTTTCACCTTTGTACACACTAGTTCAAAATCATACAGGCAAGTCACAACTTCCTAGCAAAATCAGACTACTTGCATTAAATGATTCATTCTACAATGCTGAAGCAGAATCATAACAAGAGAATTAACACCATTTTATAAGAATAAAGTACTTTGTCTTCATAATTGGTCATATCTCATGCAACGGTCGAATCACACCTGCTATCAAATTCATCAAGTATCATACAACTGGAATAGTAACATGACTCTTGGCCATGACTCCGTTTCAAAACTAATCAAAACAGAAATTTAAAGCATACCCAGCTTCTAAAAGCAACGGAGTGCCCGACCACTTGGCCCGAACAGCGACCTGAACGTTCTTGGGTTTTCGAATCTCCGCACGAACGGAACCAAACCCAACAAGGCTTACACAAACAAGGACGATCAGAACGCAAAATCTAGATCTAAAACGGCACCCCATTTGCGAAGAAGCCCAGATAAAAGACATTGAATTTGAGGCTTTTAAGGTTTCAGGAGTTCAAATGAATGAGTCATTGAGTAAAGGGCGAAGTCAAGTGAAGCGAAGCTCGAGTGTTGCCGTGTTTAGGTTGTGTATGGAAGCGATCACTTGCGTAGACCAAGACTTTTGCCCAGGGAGCGGAGACTTGAAAGTGCAGTTTGAGAGATTTGATAGGTTTAGTGGTCTTTTCAAATCAGACATAGAGTATTTTCGTAAATTGATTGGAAATGATGACGTGGTAATTTCTTATTGGCTGAGTAATGACAGAGTTAATTATATCAATGAATAATATACAAAATAATAATACAAACTATGACAAATTCAAATATTAATCAAAATAACATTGATTTTATTAAAAAAAAAAAAATTAGTGACATATTCTTAATATTAAAGGTTGAAGGTTGTAAAAGAGTTGGGTGTAAGTGGGTCTTTAAGACCAAATGTAACTCTAATGGCAATATCGAATGATGCCAAACTAGACTTGATGTCAAAGATTATACTAAGAAAGATGGTGTTGACTATAAAGAGACATTTTCTCTTATTTTTGGATTCATTTAGAATTATCATGGCATTGGTGGCTCATATGATCTAAAGTTACATCAAATGGATATAAAAAACTGTTTTTCTAATGGGAATTTAGAAGAAGAAGTTTACATGGAACAACTTAAGAATTTTTCAGTTGAAGAAAAGAAAAATATGGTGTGTAAACTTAAGAAGTCAATATATGCACTTAAACAAGTTTTCCGACAATGGTATCTTAAGTTCAATGATACTATTACCTCTTTTGGATTTAAAGAAAACACAATTGATTAGTGTATATATTTAAAGGTTGGTAGGAGCAAGTTTATAGTTTTGATTTTGTATATTGATGATATCTTGTTTGCTACTAACGATCTTTGCTTATTCAATGAGACCAAGGAGTTTCTCTCAAAAAACTTTGAAATGAAATATACGGGTGAGGCATGTTATGTGATTAGAATTGGAATATTCCGTGACACAACACGAGAATTGTTAGGATTGTATCAGAAAGCATATATTAATCAAGTCTAGAGAGATTTTAAAATAGAAAAATGCTCTGCAAGTGTTGTTCTAATTCAAAAATGAGATAAATTAGGCTGTATATAGTGCCCAAAGAATGAATTGGAACGCAAACAAATGGAACAAATTTCTTATGCATCTATCGTTGGGAGCTTGATGTATGATCAAACTTGTACCAGACTAAACGTTAGTTTTGCTGTCAAAATGCTAAGCAAGTATCAAAGTAATCCCAGATTGTATCAACTACAAAGAAAGTGTTGAGGTACTTACAAGGAATGAAAGGTCATTGCTCACTTATAGGAGATCTGATGATCTCGAGGTGATAGGATATTCAAATTCAGATTTTGCTGGGTGTATAGATACCAGAAAATCCACATTTGAGTATTTGTTCATTTTAGTTAGAGGAGCGGGTTCGTGGAAAAGTACGAAGCAATCTATCATTGCTACATCTACTATGGAGGCTGAGTTTGTGGCATGCTTTAAGGCCATTGTTCATGTTTTATAGCTATGGAATTTTATTTCAGGACTTGGTATTGTCGACAGTATTGCCAAGCCGCTGAAAATTTACAATGATAGTGACACAATAGTCTTCCTTTCTAAAAACGACAAGCATTCAAAGGGTGTTAAATACATGGAACTAAAATACTTTGCCATTAAAGAAGAAGTTCAGATTCAGAGAGTGTCAATTGAGCACATTAGCACTAGTCTTATGGTTGTGGATCCGTTGACTAAGGGGTTACCACCTAAGACATTTACTGAGCATGTTAGTGAGGATGGTTACGGTAACGCCCGCTTGAGGTACATAACTCCTATTTGCTCTATTTGCCCTTAAATTTGTTTTTGTGCCTTTAGTTAAGTGTGTATGTGTTGAAATTGCTTGAATGCCCTGAAATTGGTGAAGTCTGGTTGAAATTTGTGAAAGGCAGACTTCGTCGCGGTGAAGAAGACTCGTCGCCGCGGTGACGTATGCTCTGGATTTCTTCGCCGGGGCGAAGAACAGGCTGAGATTTTTGTTAAGTTTCTAGAGAATTCTTCCTTTGGGGCACAATGACCATTCTACCCCTAATTAGCAGGAAAAGTGGGGAGTGAAATGTAAGGCAATTTCATGGAGAATATGTTAGAGTGGGGGTGTGATTGTAATGAATGAAAGGACAAGGATGGGATTTCCAAGGAAGAGCAAGGGCAATATGGGAATGGATGTAGATATTTTGAGCTAAAAAGGGATTAAGCTTAGTAAACCCTTCATTCTTCTTCTTCCACCGCCATTCTCATTCCCTATTTTCTCTTAACCTTCCACTCAATTTTCCAAGAATTTCTAAGGACTTTTGGAGGGCTTTTGAGTAGTTTTTGGTAGAGAGTTAATCTAAAGCATCCTAAGGTAAGGATTCATGCTTTAGATATGAAATTTGATTATGGATGTGTTGAAATCTTATGGTATTATTGTTTAAAGTTGTAGAGAAAAGACAAGCTACCAAAGGGAAAAAGAAGTGCTAATGAAGCCACTCACTCACAAGGTAAGTAAATCCAACTCAAGCTAAAGCTTAAGAAATCATTTGAGTAAAGATTTCTTTATATAGGTATGTCTTATGCTTGTTGAGAAGTTGAGTTGAGATGAGTATTGATTTTATGGTTATTGGATACACTTCATTTATGAGAAGTGTTTTTATGTGTATTGAGGGATGGAAGTTGAGATGACGTTTGAGAGGTTTTGTGTATACCTCTTTGGGAGTGTTTTCCTTGACAGGAATTTAGAGTTTATGAGAGAGTTTCCTCCCATTTTTGGATGGCTAGAGAAAGAAGTAGAGTTATAGTTAAAGTAGAGTTTTTATATGCACATGAGTTGTTTGATGAAATGCCTAAGAGAAGTATGAGTATTATTAGTAAACCTTAATTCTTGAAACATTGCATATTGGCAACTCATGAGTGCATTAATGAGCATCAGCCATCCATATGCATTAATTGTGCACTTGAGAAGTAGCTCTAGAAAAAGTAGAGAATTGGAGTGTAAGCTACTCCAAGAGTAAAGAGAAAGAGAGAATAAGCAATAGAGAACAAAGAAAGAGTAGTGCAAAAGAAGATAATAGAGTAGATTGTACAATGGGGAACTCGAGAGTGATGAGTAGAATCATCACGGGTAGTGGGTGCTTTGTGATCTCCCAGCCGTGCCTCTGGTAAGATGGGGCCGTGACAGTCAAGAGAGAGAGAATATACACTCACGTGACCAAGGGTTCCGAATCCATGCATAACCGAGTCCGATCAGTAGAAAATGAGTGAAAGTCACGAGAATGGGTGCTTTGTGACTCCCAGTCGTGCCTTCGGTAAGATGTGGCTGTGACATTTAAGTGAGTAGAAGTCACAAAGAGTGGGTTGGTGCTTTGTGAACTCCACCCGGCCGTGCCTCCGGTGAGATGAGGTCGTGACCTTCAAGTGAGAAAGAATGAGAAAACATGAGAAAAGAGCTATGAGAAAGAGAAACAGAAAGAGAAAACAAATAAGATGAGAAGAGTGTAAGGAAAGAATTAAGAGAAAGAGTTACGGGGAAATATGAGTAGAGGATTTACTTACTGAGCATTATTTTGTGCTCACCCCGTTGTTTTCTTTGTGTTTGCAGGATCTAGGTAAGGATACGGTCGTCTGGACGTTGGCGAGCGAGGAGCAATAGCTATACTGTCCACCGTTTTCGATGACCTCGTGTAACTGATACTCTATTTTGTACAAAGAATGTATATATTTAAATAAAGAAAAATTGGGCCCACCTACTTTTGTTAATGTACATGTATTTTATTATATGTATTTTTCTATACGTATTTCGTATAAAGCAGTTATTACATTTTTGGTATCAGAGCAAAGATTTTGGGATTTGACAGTGTACTATTCTCATCGCCATGACGTCCGATAACTGACTGTGTGAGTTAATTATTTCCTTACTATGAGTGTTTCTCGCATTAACCAAATGTGGTTGTTTTGCAGATGAGGCGTAGTAACCGAAAGCGTGGTAAGGGTGTGATGAATGAGGGAGAACCTTCTAACCCACCAGAAGCTACGCCCCCTCCCTTGGATGAAGCTAGAATTCGGGGAATTGAACAGTAAGTTATGGCTGAAAGCCGAGGGAGAGTTGAAACCCCCGTGCAGATACCACCAACCACTAACGTAGAAAAAGAACAACCAGTACCTCCCCCAATATAGAACAGAGTTGAACCGATTTATGGTCTTCCCAATCAACATCAACCGTCAAAGTTTAAGGGTATTACGGACCCAGTAGTAGCAGAAGAATGGTTTAGGTCCGTAGAACGTACAACAACTTTGTTTCCCATGACGGACCGGGAGAAGATCCGGCATGCGAGTTTCTTATTTCGGGGTGATGCCCGAATTTGGTGGGAATTGATCGAAGATACTCATGATGTTGTAGTAATGACTTGGGAAGAATTCAGACAAGAGTTTGAGGCTGAGTATAGAACAGAGGACCGAGTTCATGAGAAGGTCCAAGAATTTATCAGCTTGCAACAAGGGTCTAGTACCGTGAAAGAGTACTTAGTGAGATTTAACTCCCTTGCTAGGTTTGCACCCGGAATAGTTAGTACTCCAGCATTGAGAAGAGATAAGTGTGTACATGGGTTGAAGTCGGAGATAGCTCGGGATATAATGACAAGTTCCGATCCCCCTTGAACTTTTTGTTCCCCTTTGAGGCGAGCAATGAGGGCAAAAATATTTGAGAATAAAATTCCCCTAGTAGTCCCTCGACAGGAGGACCAAGTGAACCGTCTACCACCCCGCAGAGAAAGAAAGTTGAGGGTGCAAAAAGCAAAGAAGTGAAGAGTAATAAAAAGAAGTTTCAGTTTAGGCCGAATAAAAGAGATTGGAGGAGTAAGCGGCCCAAGACAGAAGGGTTTCCTCTTTGCCCTAAATGTGGGAGGAATCACCCAAGAGAGTGTCTAAGAGACCAGAGGGTGTGTTATAGGTGCTAACAGCCAAGGCACTTGATGAGAGATTGTAAAGCTCCTCTCCCACCACCCGCACAGAGTTCTGGAGGTACTACTAATGCCAGAGTTTTTACAGTGGCACAGGGTGAAGCTGAGGCTAGTCCATCAGCAATTAATGGTCAGTTATTATTTCATG